ATGTCCCCAGAGGGGGGAAAAATGACTAATTTACAGATATTACTTACACATCAACCTTAGCAAAGCTGTGGGCTCAGGGCCAGAGCAGTCACAGTACTTGCCCAGCAAGCAGCAAACCTGGGTTGGACCCCTGGGGCTGCATCTGGTGTCCTGCGGCTCCCAGAGCAGAGCCAGGAATAAGTTCAGAGCATAAGTGGATGTGGGCTCCCGCCCCCTACCCCTTCCCCCCCCCCCCCCCCCCCCCCGCTTCAAAACAAAACAAAAAAAAAAAACAACAAAAATCTGCTGGTTCAGTCCTAATCTACCCAGAGAGAAAAAATATTGACCAAAGTGGCTATTATAATACGGGCATAAAAATGATAAAACAAAATATAATAAAATACAGACATAGGAACCAGAGTGGTAATACAGCAGGTGGGGCGTTTGCTTTGCATTTGGTCAACCTGGGTTCCATCCCCAACACCCCACATGGTCCCCAAGCCTGCCAGGAGTGACCCCTGAGCACAGAACCAGGAGCTAACCCCTGAGCACCACCAGGTGTAATTCCGAAAACACAGAACAGAAAAATCTGTGCTTAAATGTTTGGTAGCCGAGGCTGGAGAGATGGGACAGCAGATAAGGTGCTTGCTTCGCACAAGGGTGACCCAGGTTTGATCCCTGACATTCCAGATGGTCCCCTGAGCACTGCCAGGAGAAATTTCCTAAGTGCAGAGTCAGGAGTAATCCCTGAGTATAGCCAGGTGTGACCCAAAAACAAAAGAAAAAAGATTGGAACTCCAAGACACAGTTTAAATCCTCTCCCCTTGAGGAGACCGGACTTGGTAAGTGATTTTTCACTAAGGTGTCAAGAGATGGCTTTCTCCTGCTCTCGGGCGACAGCCCTGGGAAAGGCCACCATGCTCAGCAAGTCCAGGAGAACTGAGTCCTGCCACCAGCACTGGCGGGCAGAGAGCGAACCACCGTGGGACACAGCCTCTAGTCCCAGCAGCATCTTGGACCAGCACCACCTAGCTCACCCAGGGAACTGCGTGAGCTACACAATGCTTACTGCTTCACACCAAGTTTGGGAAGAACAACCAGAAAACAAACAGCAGTATCTCCCAAGCTGTGGACCTGACAGATTTACAACTGACAAAAATCAATCTAAGGCATCACAGTCTAAGGAGAAAATAAATAAATATCATTCCTAAAGCAAGTAGCTTTCTGAATATTGTTTTGAGTTTCACATACGTACTCGGAGCAGAGGCCAGAGAGGAGCTCAATGCGCTGCGTGCTCCCCGCAAGTGGAGGCCCAGGCTCCATCCCTGGCACCGCTGATGCGCCAAACACAGACTGGGATGGCCCAAACCTCGCTCCCCCCCCCCCCGCCCCCGAAAGAATCACAGCACAAGTTCGAAACCCACAGAAGTCCACGATAGGTTTAAAATAAATGGTTCCCGAAGTAGAGAACTCTTTGAGGAAAAGTGGTCTCAGTTAAGAACCAACAAAATTCAAGACCCTCTCCTCCTCTTCCTCCTACCACACCCACAGTGCCCAGGAGCTCCATCTGAGGCACGCTAGGGGGAAGGACAGGGGCTCCCATGTGGCATACAGTACCAGGAACCCCAAGTGGACCCCGGGCACTCCAGTCGTCCTCCAAGTTAGCTCGCCTGCACAAATGACGCATTTTCTGGGCCGGAGCAATAGTACAGCAGGTCAAGCACTTGCCTTGCATGCGGCCAACCAAGGTTCGGATCCCTGAGCACTGACTGTCAGGAGTCAGCCCTGAGTACCAGCAGGTGCGCCCCATTCCCCCCACCACAAGAAGAATCTCTGAGCACAAATTAAGCATTTTCTATAAACTCCATCGCCAAACCAATGAAATAGAAGACATTTTACAGACATCTTTTCTGACTTAAACGTTGGGCCTGACATCAAACACAGAAGGCGTGGTAGTCTGCTCTATACTTGTAACTCTAACATGCAAAAGCATGTCATTCTCCTAACTTAAGAACGCATAGTAAAAAAAAAAAAAAAAAAAAAAAAAGAACGCATAGTTCACAAAATCATGTAATGAGAAAAAGATGCTTTGGGAATCTACCCACATTATTTCCTCCCACTATGACTTTTATCAATGCTAACTTTTGTCTTCAGTCTACACACACACACACACACACACACACACACACACACACACACCCCACGTCAAAAAAAATCCCCACATACACGGGCCAGAGACAGGACAGTGGGTAAGGTGCTTGCTTTACTTCGGGTCCAGCCTGGGGCACGGCATATAGGCACCTCCAGGAGTGATCCCTGAGCACAGAATCAGGAGTAAGCACAGACAGGTGTGCCCCCCCCAAACCAAAACCCAAACTCACACACGACTGTTTCCTAATCAGTGTCCAAGTCTCACTGAAACCACCCTGTCCCGAACACAGCAAGTGCAATTTCACCAGGCTGCACCTCAGCGTGACAAGCTGTTTCCAGCAACACAAAACTCTGCAGGATGTTAACATACCAGTTTTTGATGAGTCCACTTAGATTATTTGCTTGAACCATGATTTTCTTTTAAGTACCATGCGTGAAACCATTTCCGACTCCTCACTTGCCAAATGTGTTTTCAACCCGTCCCCCATAAACACTAAACAATGACCGATTTCCTTTATTAACTCACAGCATTTGTGGCTTCTCCACAACCAGACTGACCCTGCTGGCCACTCCTGCTGGCCCTGTCCTGAGAGACCAGCCCTTCTCTTCAGGACTAAGCTTTCTCCCCGGTCCTTGCACACATGCATCCACCTAAAGATTTCCACTTCAACATTCTTCACATTCCTCATGCTGTACAAAGTAGGCACTGTTTGTATAGTACCTGATAATGGTGATTAAAAATAAAAATAATTGACACACTTGGTGAAATTCAAGTATGCCTGCCTAGGGCTTGAGAGAATTTGCAAAGCTGTCCGGTCCTAAATTCAAAAGCAATAACTCTAGAAGACTAGTAGATGCCGCTGAGTGAGCCAGGACGGTTGTTACTCCCAGTTCCATGCTCTGGAGACCGAGTGCGGTACCAGGGACGGAACCTCCTGGGACTCCTACAAGCACAACACAAGCACCAGCCGTGCACGCCCCTTCCCAGGCCTACGGGCTCCTGAAAGCACCTTCTTTAGGGATGACCCCCGTTGACTTCCATACAATTTAAGGCCACAGTCCAGGGAAAGCTTACTACTGGGGGGTGACGGGAGTAGACCCGGGGACAGCTGTGCCCAGAAGCTACTGCTACTCCTGGCTCTGTGCTTGGGGTCACCCCTTGTCACCATATGTGGTGCCAGGGATTGAGCCGGGGTCAGCTGCACACAAGACGAGAGCCTTAAGCCCTCGGACAACCTCTCTGATCAGCATTTTCGGGAAGTTTACTCATGACTCAAAGCCAATGGCCCTAGACAAGACCAGGAGCTTAAGTTTCTGCAGAAAGGCTTCCGCAAACTTTGGCATTCCTTTGCCCACTCTCCTTCTTTCAGCTCACTCTCCTGTTGAGAACTGCTTCAGACTGCAAGAAACGTTTGTAACTCAGCAGTAGAGCCACTTGCCTTGCATGCAGGAGACTTTGGGTTTGATCCCCAACACAGCAGAAAAAAAAAAGTTTAAAGTCAACACCGACAAGCACTCAATCTTTCTACCAATTAAAATCACGACAGTTTTCTACTGAAAGATGGCAAACACAGAACCACCCGTGGAACCTGGCATGCCTGTCTGAAGGCCAACTTTGATATGTCAGGGAAGGCACACTCGAAACACCAGGGTCCGAGTTTGATTTTGCAGGCAGTCCTTCGACCACTCAGCAAAGCCATTCATCCAGCCGACCAAAGAAGAGAGAAGTTCAAGGCAGGTACTTGCTAACTCTATTGCACTCCGTAGGCCGAGCTGCTTATTGGGTCCTCAAGGAATTAGTCATCAGGAGCCACGGGTCTAACTGGATTACTAAGTCAAACACAGATTTTCAGGAGTGACACCACAAGCGCTTTGCCGTTTTCATTATCAGGCACCGCAAGCTCAAGTCTGACTGTGTAAAACCAAAACGGATATCCAGCAAAGACCTTAGGACCAGCGCAGCCGGGGCGCTGCAACTCCCTCCTCCTTCCGAATCCGCAAGAGCCACTTCCAATTCCTCAAAGGTGAGACGCGGCAAATTCCCACTCCTTAGACCCGGGTCACCGGATCCTCTCTAACTCCAAGCCTTGCAAGTCTAGAAAACCGCCAGGGCCGAAAGAGAACCCACTCCCAAGCCTCTTAAGCCCTTTCCGGACGTTCCTGTCTTCTACCCATATATATATATTTTTTTCCCACCCCCCCCAGGACCTTTGGTAACAAGAGCTCGACCCGCGCTGCAATGATTCTGGCAGCACTCTGCAAGACCAACGGACTCAACCGGGGCACAAGCTCTGGATTTCTTTTTGTCAATGCCCCCCACCCTACCCGAGCATCGGGAGCTCAAAAACAAACCAAAATCCAAACCCCCCCCCCCCCAAAAAAAAATCCCAACTCCTAGAAGCATCCCAGCACCCAGAGCACGCTCGGCCTCTGCCCTCCCGGCGCTGGTCCACCCGGGAGTGTGGCTCCTCCGGGCCCCCTGGGGGGGTAAAGGGTTTCCCCCCACACCCGCCCCCCCAGCAAGCAGCTCCCCGGGAAGCCCGGGTGGGGGTCAGGTAGGGGAGAGTGCGGGGGAAGCGACTGTCAAGCGCAGCCCCGTCCGAGCATCCCCGACCAGGTCCCACCTCCACGCGCAGACCAGCCCGCGGGGCTGCAGGGAGCGAAGTTTCCCGGCCGGGCCGGCGGCACATGGTCTGCAGAAGTTTTGGCTGGAGGAGCTGCAGGCGCGGGTGCGGCGGCGGCGGCGGCAACGACAGCGGCGGCGGCGGAGCAGCAGGAGGCGGAGGCGGAGGCGGGCGGGGGAGGGGAGCGGCCGCCGCCGGGAGGGAGGGCGGGAGGGAGCGAGGGCGGGAGGGAGGGGGCGGCGGGGGGCCCCTTGCCGCCGCCGCCGCTCGCTCGCCGCCTCTCCCCCCCGGCGGGAGCCGCTCGCCGCCTCTTTGCACTAGTCGCTCCGCTCTCTCGGTCATGTGACCTTAACGTAACCGGACAGGAAAAGCCCCGCCGCCGCCGCCGCCGCCGCGCCGGAGACACCGACCGCGGCGGCAGCAGCAGCAGCAGCGGCGGCGGCGGCGCCGGGGCCAGCGGGGCGGCGGGGCGAGCACGGCCGGCGCTGCCCAGCGGCGCCTGCTCCACACCCCCCCCCCCCGCCGCAGCAGCAGCAGCAGCAGCAGCGGCGGCGACAGCACCGGCGACAGGTAAGCGCGCACCGCCGCCTCCGCCTCCCGGGGCCGGAGCCCACGTGCCGCTCCCCATCCCCCCTCCCTCCCGGGGGCCCCGGGCTCCGGGGCGGTGGGAGGTCGGGGGCGGCACGGGCTCCCCCGCCCCCCCCGGAGCCCGCAAACGGTTCCGGCTGCGCGGCGGTGGCAACAAAGACGGCCAATGACCCCCCCCACTCCCCGGTCCCGGGGGCGCCGGGCGACAGGCAGGCGGAGGGCCCGGGCCGCGCGCGGCGGGGCGGGGGGTGGGGTGGGGGCGGCGGCTGGGAGGCGGGGGGGCCCCGCGGGGAGGGGGGCGGGGGCGGCCGCGCCTGGCGCCGGGGCTCTGGCCGCCGGACAAAACCATCCCCCGGAGCCAGGCGGCGGCGGCGGCGAGGCGGCGGCGGCGGCGGCTCCATCCGGGGCTTTGCGGGAGGGGGAGGGGACGGAAGCCGAGAGGGCGGGCGGCGGATCGGAGGAGGAGGGAGGGAGGGAGGAAGGGGAGGGGGGCGATCCGCGTTCCGTTCCCCGGCGCCGGTCCCTCCCTTCCCGCCGCCGCCACGGCGGAGCGCGTCCCGGAGCGGCGGCGGCGGCGGCGGCGGCCGGCGAGCGTCCCGCGTCGGAGCCCCGAGGAGCGAGACGGGCCGGCCCAGGTGCGTGTCCGTCCGTCCGTCCGTCCGTCCTCCCGCCGCCGCCGCCGCCGCCGCTTTCCTTCGGCGGCCAGGCCGCGAGCTGCGGAAGTGGGCTGGGAGGGGGGAGGGGAGGGGAGCGGGGAGGGAGGGGGAGGGGGGGAGGGGAGGGATCCGGTCCGACCGGAGCAGGCCCGGCCTCTCTCTGGCGCTTCTCCCAGCTGCAGCGGCTCCTACAGCTGCGGCCGCTACGGCTGCGGCTCCGCCTCCCCGCTCGCGGGCGGGGGCGCGCACGCGCGCTTCCGGCCTCCCGGGCTCTCGCGCAGTCTCCGGCTCTCGCGCGCGCTCGAGCCGCTCCCGCCCCTCCCCCCTTCCCCCTCCTCCTCCTCCTCCTCCCCCCCTCCCCGCCCCGCCCCGCCCCGCCCCGCGCGCCTCACCCCCGCCCCCGCCCCCGCCCCCGGCGCCCGGCCTGTCGCGGCGACGGCGGCGGCGGCGGCGACGGCAGCGGCCGACGCCGGGGCGTTGCGCACTGCGTAGGCGTCGTCGGCATTGTGTGCCGCCCCCCTCCCCCTCCGCGGGGGACCCTGGGGCGTGCGCGTGCGCGCGCACCGAGGGGCCGCGGCGAGCGTGCGGCGCGGCCCGAGTGCGTCGTCGCCCCGCCCCCTCCCCCTCGGGGACGGCGGGGCGGGGCCAGTCAGACCGGCGGGGGGCCCGGCGCGCTCCTTCACCCTCCGCCCCCTTCCCCTCCCGCCCGCCCGCCCGCCCGGCGCCGGCCCAGGCCCTGGCCCCGCCTCCCGCGCCGGTCGCGGCTGGCCCCGCCCACACGCCGGCGAGGCCCCGCCCACACCTCGGCTCCGCCCCCGCCCCAGGGAGGCTCCGCCCCGTGGGCGGGCCGGGCGGCCGTTGGGCAGCGCCGGGGCGGGCCCGGCGACTGCGCGTCTCCCTGGGGCTGCCGCGCCGCCGCTGCCTGCCGCCTGGAGCTTCCGCTCGGCTGCGGGGGATCTGAGACGGCGCCGCGGGTCTCCGGCTGCCTGGCCAGGAGGGAGGGGGCGGTGTGGGGCCTGCGGGACCCTGGCACCCGGCTGGGCGCGCCCGGGGGCTTCCGAGGACTCGCGGGCCACCCGCGCACCCCGCACCCGTGGTTGCAAACCCGGCGGCAGAGCTGAGATGCGCTTCCCGCAGATGAACGCCGCGGTCGGGGGCTGTGCTCTGGGCGCCTCCCGGGCCGCCGGTGCGGCTCCCGGGGCTGCGTTAGGCAGGAGCCCGGCGGCTCCCTCCCCTCGGGCTCTGCCCTTGCATCCTTGACGCTTCATCCTTGGGCTAGTAAAAGAAGCACCAATCACAAATCATCCTGTTATTCGTGGATTGCCTCGAGCAGGCCCCAGTAACGTCTCCTTCATCCTAGCCCTGAGATTATATTCAAGGCCCTTTAGGAGAATGAGACCCATCATTGTTACTGGTATTTGGCATATTTGGTACACCACCGGGAGTTTGCCAGACTCTGCCCTGTGGGCAGGCTACCTTCCGTAGCCTGCCAGTTTGTCCAAAGTAGAAAAGAAGCGCCAGGAAGGTCGGAATTAGGGACTCCCGTTAAAGGAGCTGCCCTGGGCCCAGAAATTCCTCGAAGGGCTGGAGCCCAGCTTTGCTTGCAGGAGCGCTGGATTCCATCCCTGGCCCAGCGTGACCAGCCTCCACCCCCCCCAAAAAAACCGATTTGATAATAAAGGGGTACTCAGGCAGCGACACCACTGAGTGTAATCATTAATTCTTCACTTCTGACTTGCCACAAACCAAAGAGTCGCTGAAACAAAGTTTAACCCTGCGTGGGCCCGAGCAATAGTAGAACAGGTGAAGCCCTTGCCCTGCCGGGGACCACCCGACCTCCGACCCCAGCACCACGTGCAGTCGTGGTCCTGCCCCCCCATACCCAGTCCTGAGCACCAACTTGGAGCAGTGCTGGGGCGCCGTCCCCCACCTCCTCTTGGGGGGGGCACAAAGTTGGACCATCGCAATGTGGGCTCATAGGTCAGTGCTTTGTTTTCTATGAGTGAGACTAGGTTTATCCTGGCACCTCAAAAAACATACATATATATTTATTTTTAACAAAGTCCGTTCTTCACTAATACTGCTTTGCTTTAAAGTGGGTACTTCCCACTTAATTGGTTTGTGATTCATCGTTTATTGTCTTTCCAAAGGCAGGCTGGCATTAAAGCATCGTAGTGTGTATATGTGTAGTTTCATCGCTCCCACGAGGGGGTTCTTTTGCGTTTACTCCTGGCTCTGTGCTCGGGGATCACTTCTGGTGGTGCCTGGGGGACCATCATAGGGTGTTGGGGATCAAAGCCAGGCCAGCTCCACGCAAGAGAAGTGCCTTGCTTGCTGGACTGTCCAGCCCCTCTCACTTATTTTTAAGACCCTGTGATGCAGACTAGAGAGAGATCAGAGGGAGGGCGCATGGTTCAAAGGGAGAGCCTGACATTGGATGTGTGGAACCCTGAGTTATATCCCCAAGACCACAAAAAAGCGGGGGGGCGGTGTCAGCCTTGGTGCTAAATGCAACCAGAAGTAAGCCCTAAAGGAGCCCGTTCTAGGCTGGCAGAGAATCCCTGAGCTTTGTTGGGCCGCCCCCTGCATCACTGGCAAGCTTCCCCCTTCAGATTCAATCCTGCAGTGGCCGAGATTAAACTCCAGTGCTGGAGGTCCTAACAGCTGCCACTAAGAGTCAGAACCATAGGACAGCGACTCCGGCGTTTGCCTTGCTGTGCCCAACCGGGTTTGATTCCCCGGCACCCCGCAGGGTCCCCCAAACACCACTAGGAGTGCTCCGTGAGCACCACCAGGTGTGGCCCAAAAGCTACCCCTGCAGTTCCCATTGAGCTCAAAGAGTAATGAGTGTTAAAAAAAAAGAGTCGCGAGTAGTGTGACCTTTGCACTTGACTCCCAAATCTGTACTTTTGCAGTGTAAATGTTGTATAAAATAAAGATTTAGTTCCCCGACCCTGTGAGAAGATGCACCTTCTCCATACTTAGGGTTTGAGCCAACTTGAGAATTTTCGAACTAACGATTGGGAGGGAAGGAGAGGCCTAAGGCAGATGGTGGCTGTGGCTCAGGGAAGCGTCTCAGGACATGAAGACACCTGTCATCTCACCATGCCCTTCATCCCCGGACCCCTCACCTTGCCCGGAAATGACTTTGAAAGATTAGGCAAGAAGCATGCCCCTGGCTCCCCCCCAGTGTCACTGTCACAAAAGGACCCGGAAGAAATTTCCAGAATTTTTAGCACGCCCTGGGAAAGGGTCTTCACTACCTTTCCTGCGTCCTTGTGGTCTCGTTGTCCAAACTTGACCCTGAACCAAATGGACTGTCTTTACATTCCTACGGAGGTAGGACCCATACATTAAAGTTAAAATGAAAGAATCGATCAAATATTAAATAATAAAATGAAATCTTAAAATAAATTCAGAAATTCTATTCCTTTCTTTTTTTTTCTTTTTCTTTCTTTTTTTTTTTTTTTGCCTTTGGGCCACACCCAGCAGTGCTCAGGGCTCACTTCTGGTGGATTCAGGGGGACTTCACGGGACGCTAGGGATCGAACCCGGGTCAGCTGCTTGCCAGGCAAATACCTTACCCACTGTACTACTCCAGCCCCAGGAATTATACTCCTGAGGGGGAAAAACCTGTTAAGTTGCATTGAGTGAGAACTTGAGGGCGGGGAAGGGCACACTTGGCTCTGTGCTGGAGAAACATCAAGCTATGCCAAGATCCAGACCAACATTCTGGCCACAGCTGCACGCTGGGCAAGCGTCTTAACCTTTGTACACTATCTCTCGGACACCGAGAGAAATTTCTTTGAGCTTCAGTAAGCGGGGGAAGGGTTATTTACTTGCATATTTGTATTTTGGTTTGGTTTGGTTTGGTTTGGGGGCCACACCCAGCAGTGTTCCACGCTTACTCTCGCCGCTGTGCTCCGTGGTCATTTCTGTCAGGGCTGGGGATCCAACCCCGCTGGACGGTCTCTCCAGCCCCTGTGTGTTTTTGTTCCCCAGGGTGGGGGTCCACGCAGAGGAAGTTTTCTGCCTCCCCCCGCCCCCCTTCAGTGTTTTTATTAGCAAATTAAAGCTAAAGGATCTGACTTGAGACTGCCATCAGATTCAGCCATCGCGTGCCCCTGAGGGGTGACCTCAGTAGCCGCAGAATGCTTCCAGGAGTCGGCAGTTGAGAGTATTTCAAGACGTTTTCAAGAGGAGGGTGTCAAGCACATGATGTATAGTTGGCAAGCCTGCGACACGTGTCACGTGACTTTCTCAGCCTTGAAAGCTTGGGGTGCAAAGGTAGGAATTCATGAAGTGCTCTCCTGGTTCTGTTCCAGG